CGCCACCTAAAGAAGGACCCCGATCTGCACTCACAGTACGTAAAACTTATGCGTGAGTACCTACAGTTAGGTCACATGCAGGAATTATCACCAGGAGGCATAGACAAAGGGCCAAATTTGTACTTGCCTCATCATCCGGTAATTACCCAAAAGCTAAGGGTAGTATTTGACGGCTCATTCAAGGATACGTAGGGAAAATCCTTAAACGATGCTCTACACATTGGACCCAGCGTTCTACGTAACCTCTTCTTGATTTGTATGCGTTTCAGAATGTACAAGTTCGTCTTTTCAGCAGATATTGTCAAAATGTATCGACAAATCTTTGTGGCTGACAACCATTGTTGCTATCAGCGTATTGTTTGAAGAGAAGATGAAAGCACACCTATCAAGCACACCTGACGAGAGCACACACAGAGGAAGAGCTAATTTGCAATCAAAAAGAGCTGATCCAATTAATGAAATGTGCAGGCATGGAACTTGGCAAATGGGTTTCCAATTCATCACGTATCAATGACCGAGCTACTTCTACAACCGAGGTACAAGACAAAGGATCCAATCGTACAGCAAAGGTTCTTTGCATTCATTGGGATCCAGAAGAGGATACGTTATCCTACAAAGTTTGCCTTACACCAAACCCGGACAACACCAAACGCCAAGTGCTTTCTGACGTGGCACGCATCTTTGACCCGCTACGTATTCTGTCGCCAGTGGTGGTGCAGTTTAAAATTTTGTTTCAAGAATTGTGGTTACTCGATCTCGGCTGGGACACGGAGCTTCCTCCAAAAATTACTGACTGGTGGAACAAATGCCGTAACGACTTACACATACTTCAAGAAGTGCGCCTGCCACGATTTGTAGAAAACAATGTGATGATCACATCGAACTGCATGGATTCTCAGATGCCTCCATTAAGGCATATTCCGCAGTGATCTACAGCAGAGTGGTACGAGCAGATGGCACTGTATCTGTTTCACTCATAGCAGGAAAAACCAGAGTTGCTCCGCTGAAGCAGCAATCCATACCGCGTCTCGAGCTCTGTGGCGCTTTGCTACTAATCTTATCAGTAAAGGATTCTCTGCAACACAAGCACATCAAAATACATGCATGGTGTGATTCAACCATAGTTTTGGATTGGCTTTCACATCCATTTCACAAAACATTTGTAGCAAACAGGACTTCAGAAATACTCGACGCGTTGCCGCGCAGTGCATGGCATCATGTAAACACACGAGGAATGCTTGCTGCAGACCTTCTCCATTTCGACTTATGGTGGATGGGACCTTCATGGCTGCAAGATCCAGAAAAGCTTGCGGTAAAGTTAAGCTGTACAAAGTACTGTTCTTCCCTTTCAGATAACCCTGGCAAGGAAGAAGTCAAGTCCACCGCATTAACCACTCAGCAAGGCGGCTCATTTTCACCAATCGAAGTGTTGACTCAGCGGGTCTCGTCCTGGACAAAACTGGTTCACGCTGTAGCTTACGCATCACGCTTCCTCCAAAGGACCATGGCCATTAAAACTGTAGCGCTGACAAATGGGACAAGGCTCACCTATGAAGAGATTCAGGCTGCTCGCATTCTTTGCCTGCAAGAGGTTCAAAAATGCTTCATGGAGGATCGTAATCTTCTGGCGGAAAATAAACAACTTCGCAGCCGCTCCCAGTTGATCAAGCTCCCACCGTTTGTCGGCAAGGATGGCCTCCTTCGAGTTGGTGGACGCTTGGGCAACTCACAATTACCAGCATCGCACCGCATCACAAGGATGATTTTGGAACACGAACACATAGCAAATCTACATCCGGCAGTGTCTGCTTTGTTTGTAATTACGCGTCAAAAATATTAGATTTTCGGCGCGCGTAACCTAATAAGGAACCTGGTGCACAACTGCATAAAGTGCTTTCGCTAACGTAATATCACCGAGCACCAATTCTTGGCCGATCTACAAGGGATTCGTATAACGTAGAGCCTCCCTTCCAGCACTCAGGCTGCGATTACGCTGGACCATTCATCCCCAAGGAAAGGAGAGAGCGCAATCCCCGAAAAACTAAGGGCTACATACTCTTCGTCTGCCTTGTAACATCAGCCATACACTTGGAACTGGCCACTAATCTTAGCACAGACACATTCCTGGCATGTCTTCGGCGTTTCATGTCCCTTCGAGGAAAATGTTCGCAAATCTTCAGCGACAACGGCACGAATTTTGTTGGTGCCAAAAGGGTTCTAGATAAGATTCAGCAACACCTATCTTCGCAGGATCATCAACACACCGTAACTCAATCGTTGGCCAATGATGGAATTAAGTGGAGTTTCATACCTCCCCATTCGCCACATTGGGGAGGGAAGTGGGAGTCATCAGTACGTTCAGTTAAATTACATCTGAGACGCGTCGTGGGAAAAGGAATTTCAAGGTTTTCGGTACAATGAAAATTACGCGATTTATAAGGCAAAATGTGTATACATACATACAAAACTGAGTGACACAGACCTCATATCAATATGTACAGTTTTGGGCATAAGCTATGATGTTGCAAATACGCAGCTGCACATTTTTCGAAATTTACAGTTCGGCCAACTACTCGCCGGTAACGAAGTGGAAGATTCAGAGAGTGAGGAATATGATCAAGAGAAGGACGACGAAGAGGGCATTCAGAGTGATGAGAGCTTAATTTCAACAACCGCGCAGTCAAATCCAGCGAAAGAAAGATCGCAAAAGTCTATTTCGCAACGAAGCAAAGAATTCGACGAGATGCCACGATTTGCTCTCAGTTTTCGCGATATAGAGGAGTCCATTAAACAATTTGATGGAAGTGATGAAATTCCAATTGAGGTGTGGATTAGCGATTTTGAAGACCAAGCTTTATTGATGGGTTGAACGCTTTACAGTCGCAAAGTTATTTGTGCCATGCGAAAAAGGATTAAATTCGTGAAGTGCATTAAAAGAGTTTTTGTTAAGTGAGTTCAAGTCGAGAGTCAGCAGCAAGCAAATACATATGCAACTTGGAAATTGCAAACGACGCGCGAACGAAAATGTACACGAATATTTTTACCGCATGAAAGATATTGCATCGCGAGGAAATGTGGAAGAAGAAGCTCTAATTCAATATGTAATAGACGGCATTGATGAACTTTCTACAAACAACTCAATTCTTTATGGTGCTAAAAATATATCTGAATTTAAATACAAGTTGAAGGACTACCAAACCATAAGTGGTAAAACGAAATTTACGGAAGGAAGTGTTAAAGAGAAGAAAGCTCAAGCAGTGCAAAGTAGTTCAAAGAATGTCAGAAAAGAAATCGTTTGCTACAATTGTGGTGAGAAAGGACATCTTTCTAGTGCATGCAGCAATAAAGAGAAAGCCAGAAAGTGTTTCAAATGTAATAAATTTGGACACATTTCTAAAAGCTGTCCACAGCAGGCTAAACACTCGAGTTTTGAAAGAGCACAGCGATATGACGAGCAAAGCAGTCTCAATTAAAAATCTGAATTGTATTGCGCTGTTTGATACAGGCAGCAAATTTAACATTTTGCGTGAAGAATTATACAAGCAGTTAGCTTTGCCAAAGTTGAAAGAGTGCATTGTATATCTAATTGGATTTGGAAAAAATCGCAATGCCAATAAGATCAAGCCGATCGGACAATGTAAGCAAGTAGTGCAAATTGACAGCAATCCCTATGATTTAAACTTTTTCATAGTCCCGGTCGATTGTATGGACACTCGACTCATTATAGGCGAAGATCTGTGCTTGCAAGCAGAAAACGGCTACACGGCCCCAAGGGCTAAGGAAAAGTGCATTGCCAACAGCTCTGGTGTTTGTTAAAAACGCACAAGGATCGCACGCTACATGTCGGGTACTTTTGGACAGTGGTTCGGAACTGTCGTACATCTCAGAGAGGTGCGTACAGGCACTTGGTCTGTCACGCTCGCCCTCACGCATTTTGGTGTCTGGAATTTCATCGATCAAGGCAGAGACAACTAGAGGTCGCAGCACACTGTACATGCAGTCAAGGATCTCAGATCATACAATGAAGGTACGTGCACAAGTACTCAGCAAAATTACCTCCACGTTAGCAAGACACGATATCGATGCCTCAGCACTCAAGGTATTCGCTGTCTTTGAGCTTGCGGATTCTGACTATCAATCGTTGGCGCCAGTCGATATTCTCTTGGGCAGCGATTATGTTTGGACCGTGTTTACCGGTCAAAAGATTTTCGACATTCAGGGCAACATCATCGCCATTTCGACCATTTTGGGATGGGTCATAACATCTATCATCACTACCGACTGTTCATCTACAACAACAATGCACACGGCTATTGACATTGACTCAACTCTTCGGCGCTTTTGGGAGCTGGAGGATGTCAACCAGGAATCTCATGGAAAACCAGAGGACGACGAAGTTGAACAGCACTTTGTGAAAAACATTCTCGGGACTCAATGGGGCGTTACATCGTCGAACCTCCTTTCAAAAACTCCAACGAACAGTTTTCGGATACATTACAAGGAGCACTTGCCAGATTCAGGGGAGTAGAACGCCACCTAAAGAAGGACCCCGATCTGCACTCACAGTACGTAAAACTTATGCGTGAGTACCTACAGTTAGGTCACATGCAGGAATTATCACCAGGAGGCATAGACAAAGGGCCAAATTTGTACTTGCCTCATCATCCGGTAATTACCCAAAAGCTAAGGGTAGTATTTGACGGCTCATTCAAGGATACGTAGGGAAAATCCTTAAACGATGCTCTACACATTGGACCCAGCGTTCTACGTAACCTCTTCTTGATTTGTATGCGTTTCAGAATGTACAAGTTCGTCTTTTCAGCAGATATTGTCAAAATGTATCGACAAATCTTTGTGGCTGACAACCATTGTTGCTATCAGCGTATTGTTTGAAGAGAAGATGAAAGCACACCTATCAAGCACACCTGACGAGAGCACACACAGAGGAAGAGCTAATTTGCAATCAAAAAGAGCTGATCCAATTAATGAAATGTGCAGGCATGGAACTTGGCAAATGGGTTTCCAATTCATCACGTATCAATGACCGAGCTACTTCTACAACCGAGGTACAAGACAAAGGATCCAATCGTACAGCAAAGGTTCTTTGCATTCATTGGGATCCAGAAGAGGATACGTTATCCTACAAAGTTTGCCTTACACCAAACCCGGACAACACCAAACGCCAAGTGCTTTCTGACGTGGCACGCATCTTTGACCCGCTACGTATTCTGTCGCCAGTGGTGGTGCAGTTTAAAATTTTGTTTCAAGAATTGTGGTTACTCGATCTCGGCTGGGACACGGAGCTTCCTCCAAAAATTACTGACTGGTGGAACAAATGCCGTAACGACTTACACATACTTCAAGAAGTGCGCCTGCCACGATTTGTAGAAAACAAGCATGGATTCTCAGATGCAGCAGAGTGGTACGAGCAGATGGCACTGTATCTGTTTCACTCATAGCAGGAAAAACCAGAGTTGCTCCGCTGAAGCAGCAATCCATACCGCGTCTCGAGCTCTGTGGCGTTTTGCTACTAATCTTATCAGTAAAGGATTCTCTGCAACACAAGCACATCAAAATACATGCATGGTGTGATTCAACCATAGTTTTGGATTGGCTTTCACATCCATTTCACAAAACATTTGTAGCAAACAGGACTTCAGAAATACTCGACGCGTTGCCGCGCAGTGCATGGCATCATGTAAACACACGAGGAATGCTTGCTGCAGACCTTCTCCATTTCGACTTATGGTGGATGGGACCTTCATGGCTGCAAGATCCAGAAAAGCTTGCGGTAAAGTTAAGCTGTACAAAGTACTGTTCTTCCCTTTCAGATAACCCTGGCAAGGAAGAAGTCAAGTCCACCGCATTAACCACTCAGCAAGGCGGCTCATTTTCACCAATCGAAGTGTTGACTCAGCGGGTCTCGTCCTGGACAAAACTGGTTCACGCTGTAGCTTACGCATCACGCTTCCTCCAAAGGACCATGGCCATTAAAACTGTAGCGCTGACAAATGGGACAAGGCTCACCTATGAAGAGATTCAGGCTGCTCGCATTCTTTGCCTGCAAGAGGTTCAGAAATGCTTCATGGAGGATCGTAATCTTCTGGCGGAAAATAAACAACTTCGCAGCCGCTCCCAGTTGATCAAGCTCCCACCGTTTGTCGGCAAGGATGGCCTCCTTCGAGTTGGTGGACGCTTGGGCAACTCACAATTACCAGCATCGCACCGCATCACAAGGATGATTTTGGAACACGAACACATAGCAAATCTACATCCGGCAGTGTCTGCTTTGTTTGTAATTACGCGTCAAAAATATTAGATTTTCGGCGCGCGTAACCTAATAAGGAACCTGGTGCACAACTGCATAAAGTGCTTTCGCTAACGTAATATCACCGAGCACCAATTCTTGGCCGATCTACAAGGGATTCGTATAACGTAGAGCCTTCCTTCCAGCACTCAGGCTGCGATTACGCTGGACCATTCATCCCCAAGGAAAGGAGAGAGCGCAATCCCCGAAAAACTAAGGGCTACATACTCTTCGTCTGCCTTGTAACATCAGCCATACACTTGGAACTGGCCACTAATCTTAGCACAGACACATTCCTGGCATGTCTTCGGCGTTTCATGTCCCTTCGAGGAAAATGTTCGCAAATCTTCAGCGACAACGGCACGAATTTTGTTGGTACAAAAAGGGTTCTAGATAAGATTCAGCAACACCTATCTTCGCAGGATCATCAACACACCGTAACTCAATCGTTGGCCAATGATGGAATTAAGTGGAGTTTCATACCTCCCCATTCGCCACATTGGGGAGGGAAGTGGGAGTCATCAGTACGTTCAGTTAAATTACATCTGAGACGCGTCGTGGGAAAAGCCGTTCTAACCTTTGAACAGATGCAAACTCTGATTGTTCAGATCAGTGCAGTGGTAAACTCAAGACCGTTCTGCTACACACCTGACACTGACCGCACCTACTTGTCTCCGGCCCACTTTTTAATTGGCCGCCCATTCACAACAGTTCCAGAGGGTGATCTAACTCATTTGCCGATCAATCGCTTAGACTACTAGCAGCATTTACAATCAATGTACCAGGGCTTTTGGAAGCGCTGGCACCAGGAATATTTAACATCGCTGCAGCAACGTCAAAAGTGGAACAACAAGGAACATAACATCGCAGTAGGCAGTGTAGTTCTGGTAAAGGACTCAAATCTCCCACCCGCAGTTTGGATTCTCGCCCGTGTATTGGAGGCTCATCATGGACCAGATGGACTTGTACGCGCTGTGAAACTTAAGACGTCTACTGGAGAGATGACGCGACCCATCACCAAGCTACCTTTGCTGCCTAATTCAGAAACCATGTTTCAGGGCGGCCCGGGATGTTGATGAACGGAATGCATCCACAATTTTAATTTGAAATATTATACTTGTGCCATGCAAAATACTATTTTTGCTCTTTTTAGTATTTTAGGTATTTTCTGTACTGCGGTTTCACTAAGAGATTTTTTGGTTTTTTTTAAAGATGTATAAGTATACGACTACAGCGGAACATGTCGGTTCAATAAAGCTTAAGATACAGTCCACTCAAATCGGAAATAAACTGTGTTTATTCTTCACCAGTATTATTACATTATTATTCAACGAAGACAGCCCGTCCACTCGATAGCCACATATCCGGCCCATTCCGAGAAGTCAGAGGCCGTCACGATCACAGACACCGGCGAGAAGCAAGCCTGCATCAAAGCCGCAAGTGGTAAGAGCCATGACCATTAAAGTTATTGTATACATAATGTATATAATATAATTATAGGGACAGCCCTAAGCGCTTTTATTTTTGGGGACTGAGATGTAAACTGATCTATAGAGGGACCTTCGGAAACTGTTTCGTTAAAATTATTAATAGGCGTTATACTTATTATTCCTCCTGGTTATTAATTCTTTCTTATGCTTTTGAGTGAATTATTTCGCTTGTTAGGGTTAAATTTAATTTTATTTTTTGTGAAAACATGACGACAACAAGCATTGTTGGAAATTTGGAAGTTGGAGCGGATGGATCTAGTTTTAGGAACGTGTTTTAGATGTTCTTGGTTTAGATATTTATCAATTTCATAAAATTAGTGTTGGAAATTCAACATAAGTTTTGATATATATAGTTTAAACAGTATACGTATAACATACTAGAATATTGAGATTACTACTTCACTAATTGTTTTTTAGAAGTTACTACCACACTCAAAAATCTGTACGCTACTTCCTTTCTTTTCTTTCTGGATCTTTATCGAGCACAACGTGCCTAAGATTACTACAGTCAAAGTCTAGTGCGACTAAAATAATTAAAAGAAAAGAATATTAAAATCAAGTTCTCAACTAAAAAAATAAACTAGAGCTTACTGTATTTGGGCTGGGACTGCTACACAAAAGTGGATGTTGCTGGATCGAATTTATTTTCTGCTTCTGTTGTCCCGCTTCTATTTTGGAACACGCTATATGCTTGGAACCCGCTAGATTCTTGGAACTCATATTTTTATAACTTAAGGGCGCTGAGCTTGGTCTGAGGAACTTGTGAGATGGTTCTGAAGCCGCCTAGCTGGGGCGACCGAGCGGGTCGCAGGTTGCGGATAGCGGACGACCTCACTCGAGGCCAACTGCGAATAAGCTGGCGGTGGAAATCAAACACGGAATCGTGGACGGAAACCCCAGCAAATAAGCAGTCCCGGACAACCAGCGGGTATCTTGCAACGAGGCAGTACCGACGATGCGATTTGTTCAGCCGCATCTAAACAGTTGCTTTACACAAACCCAATATCCCCCACACACCACCTACCCACTTCCTCTCCCAAACAACATCTCACTCCGGGCCGGACTACGGTGTAATCCGGACCGTGCCAAGAGTCAGCCTGGCTGGGGCCCCGGATCAACAACTAGCCCAGTCTCAAACGGTGGGCTCAGGGAGATGGCGACCCCCTGTTCTATCTACCGCCTTACCCGGGTAACGCGGATCTCTGCCCGGGCGGACCTTTCCCCTTCTCCGCAGCTCGTGGGACCAATTATGGAAACAACACACAAAAACACAAACAAAAAAACGGAGACGGGAACTCCACAAAAACCCGGAGTTGCAAAGACGAACGATGGTTCCACTGCAAGTACCAGTAGGGCTCAGAAAGGGCCCCATCCCAAACTAGGGATGACGGGGGACAGAAAGACTGTCGCTAACGCCTCTGCTATGTGCGAATCTGCGCCAAAACCAGTGGTAGGCGCAGCAAAGTCGATCGGGTCACCCGCTGGTGCAAAGAAGAATTTTACTTACGCAGAGAGACGGACTGCCGCCCAAACCCTGCGCTCACATGCCAGAAGCACTGTCGCCACGCCTTCGCCCGAATGGCTAAAGAAGGTAGAGTGGGCAAGGACGGTGTTTCCCAACTATGGGCAAGAGAAGCCCCAACAAGAAGGTGCTCAGGCGAAGAGGCAACGCTCCATAGAGCTGCCCGGCCCGTCGGCGAAGAGATCGAGGATCCAGCCGTCGGTCTCCTTTGCCGAGATCACCAAAGATCGGGTCCTACTTGGACTCATTGACAGGGGAAATCCGGAGAGCAGGATCCCCAGAAACAAATGGAAGGCGGTTGAGTCCAAGCTGTCACTCATTTGCCTGCGTATGGTACGCGAGAAGCCCGGTTCAGCGCCTTGCTGTATGGACGCGGGCTGGTACCAGGGCAGTGTAAAAGTGGTGGCCTGCGATAATCAGCGATCAGCTGACCTATACAAACAGGCGGTAGCTCAGCTCGGAGCAGTCTACGAAGGGGCGAACATAGTCGCACTAGATTGGTGTGACGTCCCCAGTAGACCGCGAGCCAGAATTTGGCTCCCAGCAGCAATTGCATCACCGGAGGACATCCTCTTTATGTTGCAAGAATGCAACCCACATCTCCCCACAAAAGACTGGAAAGTCGTTAAGGTGGAGGAGCACGAAGGAGACGTAAACCAAGCGATTGTGGTACTGAACAAGGAGTCTATCGCTCCCATAGAGGCTGCTCGGGGAACGCTTAACTATGGGTTCAGTGCCATACACATTAAAATCTATAAAGGGGACTCTAATTCCTCTGGAAGTCCTGCCGGCAACCCAGCCGAGCAGGTGCTTGCGGAGGAAGTGGAGGCCCCTGGTGTGCCGGAGGACGGCTATTCAACCGACTCGTCGCTAAGCAGAGAGATGCGAGCGATGGGACCGGCAATCGACGAAGTGGACCTGAGCGATTCGGAGGCCGACGTTACTGTGGTGGAGGTTGCAGCTGGGGATGTCGCTAAGACTCCTGCAGATCAACCTACATCACAGTAAAGCAGCGTCCGCTGCTCTTTTGCTTCGCCTGGCCAAAGGCGAAGCCGACGTGGTCTTAGTTCAGGAACCCTGGGTAGCAGGAGGCAGGGTTGCTGGACTGGGAACAAAAGACTACAAGCTTATGCTTGACCCCAAACAAGGTAAAATTCGAACCTGCATTTTAGCCAAACGGCATCTTAGTACATTTCTGCTTCACAAATACAGCAACGGAGACAACACAGCAATAAGCCTGGAGCTGCAAAGCGGCTCTTTTAGGATGCTATCGGCCTACATGGCTTCCGAAAAGGTAGACCCCCAGACGCGCTAGTCAGAGGACTGGTACAGGAATGTGAAGAGCTTAAGAAAGGTTTGGTGATAGGATGCGACGCAAATGCCCACCATACTCAGTGGGGCTGCCCTATCAACAACGACAGAGGTGAGTCTTTATTCGACTTCATTCTTAAATCGAATTTATTTCTTTGCAATAGGGGCAATACCCCTACTTTTATAACAAAAACGTGCCAAACGATCATAGATCTAACCCTGGCATCAGATTCACTCATAAACACAGTCACAAACTGGGCTGTCTCCAATGAGCACTCATTTTCAGATCATAGGTTTATAGAGACAACTTTGTCCCTAATATCACCTGTGCCGGTCAGCTTTGCCAACCCCAGGCGGGCAAACTGGAATAAATACAAAGAAATTCTATCGAACTTCCTCCCCAGGAAGCCACCAGAAAGCAATCCTTGCACTCAGGAGCTAGATAATATAGTAAACAAATTCACAGAAGCATGCAACGCGGCATTCTCAGCTGCATGCCCGTTAGGGAAACCAAGGGGAAGGAAAAAACCTCCTTGGTGGACCCAGCAATTATCAATCCTCAGAGCCAAATGCAGAAACTTGTTCAACAGAGCGAAAGCTGCAAATGAGGACATAAACTGGCAAAGCTACAAAAAGGAACTAGCCACATACAAAAAGGCCATTAGAAAAGAGAAGAGAACTGCGTGGCAGAACTTCTGCTCGGACATTGAAAAGACAACTGATGCCGCAAGGCTCAGAAAAATACTTTCTAAGACAGCCGTATCCCTAGGCTATCTCCAAAAGGCTGACGGATCATGGTCGGATTCTAGTGAAGAATCCCTAAACCTACTCCTAGACGCTCACTTCCCAGGGAGCCTACAATCAGGACATCCCCCAGGAAGACACACCGGAGAAGGAATAAACTTAAATCTCCTACTATCAGACCGTAATATAAACTGGTCCATTTATAGTTTTAAGCCATACAAATCGCCGGGACCGGATAATATAACACCGGCACATATTCAACAAGCAGGAGAACTAGCTATAAACTGGCTGAGGAAAATATTCCAGACCATTCTTGCAGTAGGTGAACTACCTACAGCATGGCGGGAAACGAAAGTCGTTTTCATCCCTAAAGCAGGGAAAGCCACCCATACTACAGCGAAGGATTTCAGACCGATAAGTCTGACATCATTCCTGCTAAAAATCTTAGAAAGACTGTTAGGTCTACATATTAGAGACATCATTGACCCGACGCAGATATCAGAGGCGCAACACGCATACACCAAAGGTAAGTCGACCGAATCGGCGCTACACTTGGTAGTAAGCAACATCGAGAAATCACTCAGTATACAAGAATACACCTTGGTCGCCTTCCTTGACATAGAAGGAGCGTTCAACAACGTGCTCCCCACGGCAATAACAGAATCCCTCACTGAACTAGGGGTTGAGCCACCGCTGGTGGGGCTGATCCACAAATTGCTGATAAGCAGATTGGTCACGGCCACACTAGGGACCTCGACCCAGACTAGATTAGTGAACAGAGGCACTCCGCAAGGAGGTGTACTATCACCCCTTTTATGGAATATCGCGGTAAATAAAGTACTGCGGATTCTTGAAGGAGGAGGCTGTAAAATAGTGGCATACGCAGACGATGTCGCTATCATCTTTAATGGTAGATACCCACAAACGTTATGCGATCTTATGACCGCAAAACTAAAAACACTATCGGAATGGACTACAAAGAACGGACTTGGGGTAAATCCCTCAAAAA